TCTGGAGGAAGCATGGATACTTTAAACTTAATTTAAAAATCCTAAGAAAGAACCACCCACTAGAGACAAATGTCAACAAGAAATACACAAGCTCTATTTCTATCTTATAAACTCTAAGTCATTTCTGATGAGGTAAAGAGGGAGGGACAACTGTAACTACACATCAAAGAGAAGCTCTGCTTCAAGACAACTGAAGAAACCAGAAGACACAGGAGTTGAAAATACAGTAAACTAAAACCCACACAGCAAAAGCAAAACACTGAATAGACACTGTTTTTAGCAGGCAACAGACTTGAAAAGCCAAATATCACTGTGATGGTTAATTTTATGTATCAACCTGCCCAGGGTAGGAAATGCCCAGTTGACTAAATATTCTAGGTGGGTCTGACAGGTGTTTCTGAGATTTGTATCTCATTGGTAGACAGAATAAAATGATGTTCCCTCACCAATGCAAGCAGGCAACACTGGGTGGGCATTATCCAGACCACTGAGGGGCCAAAATAGGACAAAAAGTTGAGAAAGGGTTAATTCACTCTCTGATTAGGCTGTCATGTCACCTGCTCCTGTGACACCAGTACCCTTGGTTCTCAGGCCATTAGGCTTGGACTAAAACCGCTACACTCTCCCCATCCCTCCCATTCCCCCCCCTCCCCCCCAGATTCAGAATTGCACAGTCAGCTTTCTCAGGGTTCCAGCTTACTGATGACAGGCCACAGGATCTCTCAGTTTTCATAATCATGGGGGCCAATATTTCCTAATAAGTTTCCTTCCTCCCTATCAGGTATTAGTCCTGTTTTTCTGAAGAACCCAAACACAATCACACTAAGTTTGAAGAGAACTAGGTTTTCACATCCACTAAACAAACTAGCTATGGAATCCAGGCTAGTCATCGAAGACGGCAGAGGGAGACAGAATGGAAGCTGCTGGCACTGAACCCCCTCTTGGCTAGAAGCTACTGTAAAACACGGTTTCTTTCTAAGAGGTAATTTCTCTCCAATGGCAGGATTTTCTTTTCCCTTTAGGCTCTATACCCAAAAAGAACTTTAAAAGCCCAATTTAAGTTCTAAACAAGTGGGCAGAAGACTTCAGAATTAGGAGCCTGGCCTTCAAACAAATGGTCAAAGAACTTAACTACCCCACAATCTAAAGCCAAGCTATCATTACTTTGAGTTACGGCTACCCCAAAGATGCTGTCATGGGAGTGAGGAGCATGGGTTTACTTATAGGGAGAACCGTGCTACAGGAAAAAACCAAAAAAAAAAAAAAAACAAACAAAAAAATGCACTTTTAAATTTCTCTGTCAAGGACCCTCTTAGATTTCCTAAAACTAGGAATATATTCACATTAAACTGACTTACCAATTACATCTTGTCTTTGTCTTAAGGGTTTAGAAATAAAGTTAGGATTTCCTCTTACAAACCAACTCTAATAGTGAAATGCAAAAATCAGTCATCTCCCTTCAAAAAGGATGGGTCAAGGGAGTTTACATGACCATCTTAGGCTCACCTAGGCTTACTAAAACGCAATAAATATGTTTACTACATATCTCTGCTCAAGGGACAAGGAAATTTTGGTAACTTTAATTCTAATAGGAGGAGAACAATTGAAACAGGACTTGCACACATGAGTATGATCCAAGGTCAAGGTGTGTGTCACAGATCTACGAAAAGGCTACCAGAACAGGAATGTCTATGAAAACACATCTGTAAAGGTTCCATGAGCATGGCACCTGAGGTGGTATTTGATGGGTGAAAATACTTCCACAGAGCTATGGTCTGGGTAAGCATCCCACCATTGCCCAAAGTAAGCATTGCCCAATTCACATCATCCTTGGTAGGTGGTCCTGGGAGGTGTAAGAAAGACGGCTGACCATGCATCTGAGGAGCAAGCAAGTAAGCAGCATCCCTCTATGACTTCTCCTTCAGTTCCTGCCTTGATTCTCCTCAGTGATACTTGGAAGTGTAAGTCGAATAAACCCTTTTCTCTTTCCTCCCCAAGCTGCTTTTGGTTGTAGTGTTTACCAGAGCAAAGGAAAGAAAACCAGGGCACCACCTAAATAATGCTTCTTTGGCATATTAGCTTGAGGGACTCTCTGTCCCATCTCCCATAAAATCAAGTCCTAAAACTTCCCACTTTGCAGCTTATCACCGAAGTCTCGGATTCAATGCTGAAATGGTTCAAAATAACCCTTCTCTTCCATTCATTTCCCAATACCTCACAGCCACTACAAGTGCCTGCCTTGAATCTAAACTCTTTCCCTAATTATCATTCTTTTCTGTATAAGGCAATGAGTTCTCTGCCTTGATACTTCTTTGAAACTTTATTTTCTTTTGAGGAATCTCAAGAATATATAAGAACTTAACACAATTTATGTGGTATTCTGTCAGTTTAGTCCCTAAGACAGTGGTTCTCAATATGTGGGTTACTACCCCTTTGAGGGGGGGCCAAATGACCCTTTCTCAGGAGTCACCTAAGACTATTGGAAAACACAGATATTTACATTACAATTCTTAACAGTAGCAAAATTACAGTTACGAAGTAACAATGAAAATTTTATGGCTGGGGTTCACCACAACATGAGGATCTGTATTAAAGGGTCACAGTGTTAGGAAGGTTGAGAACCACTACCCTAAGACCATGGGGAGATTCTAAAAGGGTAGAGGACAAATGTCTCCTCCCCATCACACACTTCCTGGGCTGTGAGCTCCCATCCAGGTCCCTACTAGTCAGGCAGCAGGTCCCAATGAAAACTGTTTGAGGTGCATAGTAAGGAAGTGATAGTGCCTGGAAACTTGAGCAGATGTAGGGACCTCAAACTGTACCCTATAAGAAAAGACTAAAGCAGTGGGTAAAAGGCTGGATGTTGCAAAAGATCCTATGAACCTAAGGAGATTTTTTCATCTCAATTTTGTTCACATGTATATATGTTTGCCTGTCATCTACTGCTCTGGCTCTATATAACTGACCACAAGTGGAATTGTGGTTGGTAGTTGTTCTTTTAATGGTCACACTACCAGGCCCTCAAGGCAGGTAACACAGGGAAAGACCACTTTCAGGAGAGTCTTTTGTCTGCACACACACGGTACACTGTGAAGTCATGGGTCCCACCTTAGCAGGCCTACACAAACACTCCCTCAGCTGCTCTTTCTCAGACTTATTTGCGTAACCTTTATACTTTGTTCGCCCTACCCAAGACATGTTGATTTGTCTCTATTTCTTTTAAGTGCCTCAGATCAGCTCTGCTCAGTGTGGTCTGTAAACATTTGCTACTGTCTGTCACAAATGAGCAGTCACTAAGAGTTTTACACAGCTGACAGTCATTTTTGTGACTGCTGACTCTTGTAACAAACAGTACTTAAGATTTTGTGTCTTTTCCCCAAATTAATTTTATCCTGTTTCAGAAACACCACTCTTCAGCTAAAGCTGTCATCATAATTCTGAAAAGCACTGGAGCAAGAATGGTTAAGTAATAACAGAGAACACATTCTCCCATGTGAGCTAATGGATTAAGACCATCAATAAAAAGACTATTTACCAGAACCCAGCAATGGGGCAAGTTCACTGCCTCCTTACTATTAACTAATCCTGTCTGTATTCCTTACATAAAGCCACTCAACCCATACATGACAGTCGTGATAGCTCAGATCCAGATACCAATGGACACCTTAAGTCTTAACAATCTGCTACTACACCCTTTGTTTTTATGCACATCATAATCATGACTCATAGCTTTTTGTTGTTGTTACTGTTGCAGTTGAGACAGGACTGTGTTAGATGGACGAGGCCTTCCTCAAAGTTACAACACTGCAGACTTTGCCGCCTGAGTGCTGGGTCTACAGCATGTACACTAGGCTTGGCATTAGTATACCTTTGAACACAAAGAAACACAAGGTACTCACAAGGCAAGGAAGTGCTTAGCAGTGCCAATTAGACCATTACAATCTTTTGCTTCAAACCATGCATATGTGTACGAGCTTAGGTGCACAGGCCACCTGTAACCATGTGTAAACACACGCATACACAATTTTAAGAAGTATGTTCTACATTAGGCATGCCAGGAACACCAGCTTTGTATACTAGTATTGTAGACTATAACTCTTCTTACCAGACAGTTCCTACTCCTTCTCATTATGCTCAAGATGCACAGATTAAAGGTAAAGGCAAGCCCTGAGGGCAAGGGGTAGGATAAAGGCTAAGTGGAGACCTGTGACACACCCCTCAGAACCTCTCATTTGGAAAGTCAGCATTTCATATTGCCCCCAGATACACACACACACACACACACACACACACACACACACACACACACACACACAGAAAGAGAGAGAGATTGATCTTCACATATCAATTTTGCTTTGTATAAAACTTGAGAAAATTAGTAATTCCTTGAAATTATGGGGTGACTTCTGTTGGTTTGGTGAGTCAGAATAAACAACGGGGTGTTTGCACATTCTGGATGCTTTTGTAGCCTTTAAGCCCCCTTTTTCCCCATACGGAAACTTTGCTTTTGAGGAGTGTTGTATGACAAAATAAAGCACCTATCCATACTGAGACAAGGGTGCCCCATAGGACTGACCAATCTAATAACTTATTTCTACCAAAATAAGGAAAAGGTCGCACTGTCCTGAGTAAAGAAATGACAGTTTGCCTGGGTACAGCACCAGTGAAAATGTGGCAACTGCCTTCCAACCACGCATCAAGGCATCAAGTTCCTGCAGAAGGATCAGGTAGGAGGGCCTATCACCTCCAGCTCTTTCTTCCTACCTGTCTTCATCTTCTATAGTTTCTCTTCAAAAATTAACTAAATGCCTGAGCTCAGGAGCTCATGCACAGGGAGAAGCCAGAGGCATGACACCTACAAGTCGTCTATTTATAGAAAAGTGTTAATACTTCTCAGAAGTCTCCTTGGAAACGTCCAAGCCTATCTTCCCTTGGGAATTCCAGACTACTGATATTACCACCTCTGAAACAAACTAAAACCAAGGAACAAATGTACTTACGGTTTCCCCCCAGGTATTCCTGCCAGGTTTGGGGGAATGGAAGGTACTCTCATGTGGGGAGGAGGATCAAAACCAACCTAGAAATAAAAGTGTGGCAGACTCAGCTTATGTAAGATAGATACTCTGTGGACATTGAGTTCACTTAAGAAATCCATTTACCCCCTAAGCAATGTAAGTGGGCACTGTAACTATGGCTGGTATTTCTCAAAAGAAAATATACAATGACCTACCTTACCAAGAAAGTGCAGGAGGATACTGACCAGCCTAGCACTAATATCATGGGCTATTTCATTCTTTTCTTCCTTGGGGGCAGTTCAGAGCACCATGGAATGTTTACACAGCCAAACAGGCTGCTATCCTCAAGTTCCAAGAGCACCTCCCCCACCCCCTACTCCTTTGCTGGAGTAACCAAAACTGCTGCATGCAACTCACTCACCAAGGTCAGTATTTAGATTCCCATGCTGTCTTTGTGCATAAAAACAATTAGCTACTTATCACACTAGATTCAAGGGGCAATCCAATGAAGGAGGTTAAGGAAAAAAATACTGTTCACGATATATTTCAAATGGCTTACAGGAAAGATTTTCTGTGAGATTTATTTTACTCCCTTTCCTGGTACAATCTGACCCTCCAAATACAGTTCTTTAGCTTTTAGGTAAAAAACTGGGCCATTTGAATGACAGAAGGTAGGGCAAGATGATGGAAAGACTGGCTCTATGGTTTTAAAATCTGTCCATGTCATACACAAATAACTTCTTTTACATAAGCTAGGGTATTTACTTTTAAAGAACATACAGGCATGGAAGGAAAAAGCATGGCTTCTCCAATGTTTTTCTTAAGATGTAGAAAAGGGAAAAGAGCTCAAAAAGAAAAAAAAAAAAGCACTGAAATTATTTCAATACTTTCAGACTAAATTTTTACTTTGGTGAGAGAAAGCCTTATCTATCCTGGAACCATCCAAGGAACCTCTAAACACTGCCTTTTTCATCCACAGACACAATGAAACAAAAGGCACTTGCCCTAGCTTAATGAACCAGCATACTGACGAAGGCTGACAACAGGAAGGTAAATACGTGGCCTGAACAGTGGGAATCATCTTTAGTGTTTGTTCGCAAGCATGGGGTGGGCTGTATCCTTCTCAGGGCAGTGAGGGCATGCATTCTAGACCCAAGTCCCCAGGACACAACTCAACGCCTTTCTTCCTGGTCTGCATACCCAGAAGCCCACTGCCACAGCCCTACACTTCTTGTCCTGCATTCTTTGGGCTGCCCACTCCCCAGGGCACACGCAAGCATATGACCTACCATTGGGGAGCGACCATAGGCAACCACTGCTGCAGCAGCTGCAGCAGCTGCAGCACTCATCTGTGGAGACATGCTGTGTAGACCTGCATAGGCAGCGCCAGGGCTGGTCAGCTCTCCATTCATGCCTGCGTGGGGCACCATGCCAAAGGGGGCAGGGTATGGGCCAGGCACTGCCAAGGGCGTCCTCAGGCCAGCTGCTGCAAGGAAACATGCCATGTGTGATGAGACTGACCATCAGGTCAAACCTGACCAGTGATTCCAGCCATTAGTTATGATGGTGAGGGGAATGGAGATCATCAGCCCCAATCTATACATAAGGTCCATTCCTTCCCAGAGCTGAATTCTCCTCCAGGACAGAAAGCACAACCCCCATATTTCCTCATTGGCAAAGCAGCCGCACCAGGAAGCCAGGAGGATTAATCAACATTTTTGCACCCAATTCACAAAGGGCAAGCCAAGGCACAGATACTTCATGTTTACCTGACTTAATCTCAAAAGAAGATTTTCTGGATAAAATCCAAGATTTCTCCTTCAGTCCGAACTTTCCACTCCCTGGTACCAATTCCAAATGAAAACCAAATCCTGGATTTACGCAAACCAGAGCAGGGCTTTAGCAGGGGCATTCTGGTGCTATTTCCCCCTGGACTTGGGCTGTTAACGTTTTAATTTGTACAGTGAGGATGATCAAATTCAAAGTTATGAGTGGCCTTGTGGGCTAGAGTCTCAGCAAAACCCTCTCAACTTCCAGCAAAGGACCACTGATTCCTGAAAATGTAGCAACCAACCAACCAACAGGCAACTACAGGCAGCAAAATGTATATTCTGGCTATAAAATTAGCAAGCCATTTTGGTCAATATTGGCAACACCAGACATGCAATGACAGAGTCTGTAAGATTATGTTTGAAATAATTACCAGAAACTTTACGGTAATCCCTAGGATTTGAACTATTTTGAAATAAAAGAAAAGCTGAATGTAAATAGTTGGAGGCTAATTGGTGCAGCTGCTGAAAGCCAGGACAAATGTGTTTGTTACCATGCCTTTTCAGAGACAGGAGGACAGCTTTAAGTGCTTCACATTCAGGGGCAAACTGTCACAGGATTAGCAGACAACACATCAAGCTGGGGATGGAAGAAACAAAGCATAGCAGGAGAAGGGGTGCTGACCTGCTTGGTTGACAAGGGGCTCCATGGCTGGAGGCTTGCCGAGACCTGGACGAAGGCCTGGAGTAGCACTGGTGCCCGGGGTTGGCATGTCACTCCGAGGCGTTGGTGTGCTGGATTTCAGAACAGGCGTGTTGGCTTTTTCATGCTGGTATCATTAAACAAATTAAATGAGTATTATTTTTAATCCAAGCCATATTACACAATTTATCACAACAGCAGCTGGGACACTGGGCACCTTCTAGTTACTCCCCAGCCAATTTTCATAAATCCACACAATGTTGACAGCATTAACTTGTGAGAGAGAAATGTTGACCTTTCCGCTTCCTGCCAGATTAAAACTTGAGCAGGAGACACAGAGCATGATCACAGTTCTTCCTCCACAAATTTTATTTTAAAAAGAATTTTCCATCAAGCTTGTGAACTTTGGCTCCATGCCATGTTAGAATGATGATCATACAGAGATTCTTTCCAAGTTACTCGCAAGGGCATATCTGAAGTGGAACCCTTTTCCCAGCCTCACCTTTTGGGGATTCAGATTGACAGTGAAAGACAGTGGAACTGCCAATAATTTCAAAGTCAAATCAGCATTTCCAAGATAAAAGTTCTAGAAGTACTGCTGGGGGATGTCTTTCCGTACACTGTGAACATAGGTTGTTCCCATTGGTTAATAAATAAGCTGATTCGGCCTATGGCAAGGCAGCTTAGAGGCAGGCAGGAAATCCAAGGAGATAGCAAAGAGAAAAGTAGTCTGGGGAGACGCCAGCCTGCAGCCCAAGAAACAACATGCCAACAGACCAGTAAGCCGCAGAACACATGGCAAAACATAGATTAACAGAAATGGATTAATTTAAGACATAAGAAATATCTAGCAAGAGGCTAGCTGCCATAGGCCATATAGTTTGTAAATAATATTAAGCCTCTGAGTGATTACTTTATAAGCGGCTGCAGGACTGCAGGGCTGGGCCGGACCGGAGAAACCTTCCAACTACAAAGTACCTGTCTCATATGCTTAGACAAAGACCTAAAAAGAATTCCTCTTTGGAGAGAGGTATAGCCACCTATGTGGTTACTGAGCTAATGAGGCTCGACCAGAGCAGACAGGAGATTTATCACCTGCCAGAGACCTTTATAACAGGATAGTAACAGGATAAAAAGGGGTCTTCTTTTATCTCTCAAGACTCCTTGTGCCTCTAGAACACAGCTCAAGAACTACCAGGATGTAGAAAAGAAAGTGAGCCCAATACCCCAGCTCTGGCCTAGGATTTAACAGATTGTTCTCAACAAGTCACTCAGGCTTGGGTTTACTCTTGGGTAAAAGGGTAACACCAAGGTCACCATGTAAGGATTAACTTTAAGGCAGTCTCACAAGGTAGCAGACTTGACTCCCATCTCAAGAGCTTCCTTTCTGACGTATCCTTTCAAGCACTAGTACTGCAGACATATTCCACCATCCTCAGTTTTACAAAGTTTGTTCAGTGAATAAAGGACCACATGAATGGGCTACGATGCATTCACTACTATTACATATCCCAAGCCTCCAGTGTACCTACCAATCCTGATGTGACATGGCCTGGCACAATGGCTAAGTTTTCCAATAAACAGTAGCTTAAGAAAATCAAGACACCTTAAGACTGTAGTTCTCAATCTTCCTAATGCTGCAACTTTTTACTATAGTTCCTCATGTTGTAGTATGTAGCTGAAGTTTGCAGAAAAACTTTCAGCTACAGTGGTGACCCTCAACCATAAAATTACTTTCTAACTGTAATTTTGCTATTATTATGAATAGTAATGTAAATATCTGATATGCACAGTATCTGATATGCAACCCTTGTGAAAGGGTCATGTGAACCCCCAAAGGGGTCAAGACCCACAACTACTGTCTTAAGACAATTATTTCCTGCCAACTGTCAAGTTTCACAGAGCAGAGTCATAAACATATCTAAGGAAGAAAATGATGCACAGAGAAGCCTACACAACTACTCGAATCATGGCCCAAGAGACAACTGAGAACAGTGAATAGGACAGAAAGTGCTTCTTTTTCAATACTTGAACATATAACCTTTAAGCAGCAAAATCCCCAGTTCACATACTGCAGTGTCTCCCAAGGGAAGATCAGCTTCCACCTACCAGGCTCACTTCTTTGGATTTCAGGGAAGAGGAACTTCCAGAGGAGGCTGTGGATGCTGGGCTGCCTGAAGCATCTTTCTTCAGCAGGCGATTTTTGTCAATTCCGTTTTCCCGGGGTGAGTGTGTGGGACTTGCATGTGGAGAAGAAGGGTCCTCAACACACAATAAGAAGTTGACATGTTTTAGTTCAGAATGGACATACTTTTCCACATTCTCAATTAAAGGATAATACTGAAAATCTTTCAGATTTGAGGATGAGTGTCATGTACTAAATGAGCAAGATGGTATTTATAACATACTCAGGACCATACCACAGGAAAAATAATCACATCCCTCCCGATACCCAGGTGTGTCTTCTAGTCAGACATCAAACACAGAAATTAAAAATGACTTAGGAAACAGGTCTTCTTTTCTTCTTCTTCTTCTTATTTTTTTTTTCCTGGTGGTGCTAGGCATCAAACCCAGGTCTATCTGTACCAATCATAGGCAAACAGTCTTCAACTGAGCTATGTCTCCAAACCTCAATTTTTAAAAGGGAAATTATAGTTTCAGTTAGGTTATGACTACCCCATTCCTAAACATCCATTAAATTCTTGGTATGTGAAGGTATAAGACACAGACACTATGACTCAACTTCATTCACTTACAAATGGATTTTTCTTAATACTAATCAAGAGAAACCTTGATGAAAAGCATGGTTACCTCATTAGACACATCCACAACTAAGTTGTCATCACTCTTGTCCCCATCACTGTCCTGGAAAAAAAATTAATTTTGTTTAGTAAAGGCTAAGAGTAAGTTTTGACCAGTTCAATTTCTTTCAATAGTTCTTGGTAGCAGAGAGCTAAACACTTAGGACATGCTTGCAGGCTCCCTTCCAGCCTATAGGCATTTACCACCACCTTTCCCCCTCTTCCTCTAACCTGGGATACACAGAGCTTCAGCATGAATGCTGCTGCAGGGAAAGCCAGCTACCTAATCTAAACCTGCTCATGAAGGGCTTGATGTTTGCAATGGTAGTATCTTTCTTAGAATTTGAATCTTGTATACCTTCATATTAGGATTCTTAGTCCAATGGATTTCAAAGTAAGGAAGAATGTACCATTTCTTTGATACATATTACTTTGAAGATGCACAACTAGATAATATGGGACTCAGACAACTCATGACTATAGAGATAAATTTACTTACACCATCTTCCCATGAGATCACTAGCTGTAATAGAAAACAAAAGCTCTAATCCATGTAAAGAACAAACTTCTGGGGGCTGGTGATAAAGCTCAGTTCACTGAGTGCCTACTACTGACAAAGCTGTGGGTCTGATCCCCAGAACTATACAATATCAGGTGTAGTGCTACACACCGATACTCAAGTCATGAAGGTTTAGGTCAAGGTTACACCTGGCTGCAAAGTCATCCTGGCTACTATAAAAGCTATCCTGTCTCAAAAAAAAAAAAAAAAAAAAAAAAGGAGAAAGAAAGAAAAAAGTGGGCAGTGGAGTAGCTGAAGAGATTTAAGTCAGTGGCTAAAGCACTTTCTGTGCATGAGGATGGGAGATTAGATCCCCAGAACTCATAGACATGCCATACAGGCTTAGAGGCCACCTGTAATCCCATCATCCAGGAGGCAAGAGACAGGTGATCCCCTGGTCGTTCTAGGTAGATGAACTCTGAGGAATTGGCAAGACTCTGACTCAATAAAACAAAACAAAACAAAAAAAAAATGGAGCTTCAGAGACATACAATGTCTTCTTTAAGCATCCACATGTACATTCAGGCATACCACATGCACATGGGGGTAAAGAGATAAAAAAAGGTACGGCTCTTTGGCATGAAATATGGAAGGATGGAAGGAAACTAGATGGAGGTAGCTGGAGGGTACTGCCACAAAGCATAAGGGTCTTTACTGTTTATCACTGAACTACAAAGTTGGCTAATCACAGCAAATTTCAAAGTTGCATTCAGTCTGCAAAGCATTCAGTAAAGCTGCTCAATTTAAGATGAGTTCACTCCCATATCAAAGTTTGAAAAATTCTATTTTAGTGTGGTAGTTAGAGTAAGAATGTCCTCCATAGACTCAGATGTCTGAGAACTTGGCCCCTAGTTGGTGGTTGTGTTTGCCAAGTGTGGCTTTACTGGATGAAGTATGTCACTAGGGGTAGTTTTGAAGTTTCAAAGCCAAGCACAACTTCTAGTACAATATAAAAAAACCATGGAGTTCACCAGCAACATAAACTGACAGCCAATGCAGAAGGAGTCAGGAGCAATTCAAATTTAAAATTTACTGAAATGCTTTCATTGAAAAAAAAAATGACAAAATGTACTTTGCTTAGTGTCAGATAAAAGCACAAATGTTCTCAGATGTCAAGAGAAGAAACGGTGAACATACAAACTAGAAGGGTTTCCTTTCTAGAAAAAAAAATTATAAAAATGACCATAGCAGAAAGAGTGAGACAGATAACTATAGGCAACAATTCACTACCACTACACTCCTTTTCAATTTAGAAAAAAAACTTTCCTTTCAATGAAAAAGAAAGAAATATATTAGGTATACCTATACAGTATTATAATGGTCAAAGTAGGATAATTAGTATTCCCATCATTTTATCTCTTGTTTGGGACCTCAAACACTTGTCTTATACTTCTTCATAAACGTGTAACAGGCTGTGATAAACTGAATTCGTCTTACTCTAGTATATAACACGGTCTTCCTCTCCTATTTAATCTTCATCCTATCTAAGTGCTTTGCACCACTGTCCAGATCCTCAGTTCCAGCACCCTCTTACCCGACTAAAGGAGTTATGAGGTGAATCACTCATGTCTTCTGCAAGTGAAACTTAGCTCTGTAACGGGCCCTTCTGCAAACATAAGCCAGCACAATACAGTAAACTTTTGTCAAAGAGTTCTGGTCTTAGACTTGGCCTCCTATGTGTTCTAACATAATCTCATTATCTCACCCAAGCCCATTTATCTATCCAGACAAGACATAAGTACCATAAAACCGTAAGGCCAAGATATTGATTCCAAGTCCCTCATTGTTGAATTAAAGACACAAGCCTCATGGAGAAACTAGTAACACAGAACTGGGTATCACCAAATTTCCCACCTTCTGAACATCACAGACCACCTTCTTGATTGCTAACATTTAATGTTACAAATGAAAGCAAATACATGCAGCTCTGGGCAACAGATAGGGGCAGAAGGATATTTAAAGGATTTGGGTGAAAGTGGGGAGAGCTAATGACTGGTTCTTCAGATGTTTATTAAACCATGATACAAACTGTGGACTGATCTAGGACCTCTATGGAAATGCCAATTCTAAGAACAGGGTCAATGCTTCAATACAGCATGGTTTTGGCATAAGGTGCTTTGAGAGTTTCACTAATCATGACCTCTGGTGAAACACAAGCTCTGGGTAGGTTTCTTTAGCTATGAAATGGAGAGGATACCCAACTTGGCAGGTTATAATAAGAACTAAATAAAGTAATCTGTGTCACCGCACAGGGTTCCTGGCACTAATCCTGGCACACAAAATGTTACTTATTATTAGCTGAAGCCTTGGACAAGCCACAGGAAACAGAACCCTATGTCTAAACTCTCCCAACTACAGAGGCCTACATTTTGCATGGAGTGTTTCTGGTGTGTGTGTGTGTGTGTGTGTGTGTGTGTGTGTGTGTGTGTGTGTGTGTGTGTGCGCGTGTTTTACCATACTGGGGAATGAAACCCAAGGCCTGGCATATGTAGGAAAGTATTCTACCACAGAGCTATTCTCTACAAACATTGATTTTACTATATATATAATGTATATATAATATATTATATATTATCTATACAAGGTCTTACTGTGTAGCCCAATTTGGCTGTGACATTGCAATCCTTGTGCCTCTGCCTCCAGGAACTGGTGCTATAGCCTTATACAACTAACCTGATACTTTGATAGTCCCTCTGTGAGTAATTAAGTTAGAAGAAAAAAAAAAAAATCTAAGCCCAAATGAAGTATATAACAGACAGCCCTGAAGGGAAACAAAGTCCTCCAATGTAGGAACTTACCTGCTTTGCAATTACGAAATGATACAAAATTACCACACTCTAGCAGTATACCTGGATACTCACTCAAAACGAAAGCAGTAAGTAAGCAATTATTACGAGAAGCCCTTTATTCACTTACATAGTTATCCTTATCATCCACCTTCCTTTTTTTGATGTCACTGGAAAACTCTGGGCCATTTCTGCGTTTATCTGTGCCTCTTAGGCTGTCTGGGACCAAGAGGGAATTACTCTGTAAGACAAAAAAGTACTAATAAAGGTTTCTTCCTAGGCCTCTTTATATGCATGAAAACCCAACCTGGAAGAACTGTTTTAGAAACAGGATCCCAACAATCTTGCACCTCTGTTAAAATCACATGTCTTAAGACTCCAGTGGCAAGAATTTAGACAGAGCTTAAAAGAAACCTGATTTTACATCAAACTTTAAATCCTGGTGGATCCTTGAGGCCCTATTCTCTAAAAATGTGCTTCCGTTTACTCTTGGAAAAACAGACACTTGCTGACTGTGTGTAGATGTGTTTTTACTCTTTTTACTGCACTTCTTGGTGTGGCATATGAACGGCTTTGAGTAACTCCTGAGATCACACTCTACTAGGCATATGTTATGACTAGAAGTCACCATGTGCCACTCTAAAAAGGCACCAAAGACGCAGGAGGGAGTAACAGTCATTCCAAATGGCAAATCACCTTTTCCACACAACAATAAAGGACTTCTCAATTCTTTTACTATACTGTTGAAAATAAGATCTGGCACTGTTAGCCAATACCAGTGAAATTTGATATTCAAAGAGGAAATCTTAGTCAGTTATAAACCTTTAATAGCAAAAGCAGCTCTCACATTTAGAGGACTAATCTTTGCCACAAACTACACAGGACACTTTCACCAGCATATGCTGAATATGAACTGCTGACCCAAAGAAAACAGGCATTTTAGATATTCTGGGGTCACATGACATGACCTGGACAGCCCTTCAATTCCCAATTCCCATCTCCCCTCAAGCTAAAGCAGAACATGTTACAAAGAGTTCTTTTAAGAGCTGGATTAGCATATGCAAGGGGGCAATTTGTTCAGTGATGTGTTACTGCCTTGAACAATGTTGAATGAGCTATGCAAAAACTGCCTTTCACAAGGCCCAGATAACCCCCATTCCTGCCAAGATGCCTGAGAACTAAGCATGGGGGTGGGTCCCCGGGTCAGCAATTATGCTACCTTTCCTGACACAAATAGGACCACAATACAACAGTATGTACCAGAAACGAATGTTTTATGACACATTTTTTTAAGGCCCTGGGTTTTCATTTTTTACCAGCCAGACATAATCAGGGAGGTGGCTGGCTCTCAAAGCTCCCTGGGATAAAACATAGACCCCACGGTATTCCCAGCTCCACCACACACAGAAGAAAGAAAAAAAGAAAAAAGATACCTGGGGACCAGAGGGCAGCTTGAAGCCTCTTGTCACACTTTAGAGTTGATTCTAAAAGCTGAGCTTTTTTTTTTTTTTTTTTTCTTCTTCAGTAATGATTGTTCAAACAAAACAAATGGCCAGGAAGATGAGATAAAAGGTAGAGGGACCCACACAATTCAATATGGAGAAGCTCAAAGACCCACAGTGGCTGGGCCTGAAAGGTGAGCAGACTGGATCCATGAACTAATTATAATTACCAGTTTACAACACTCAGACTCCAATCAGGGTCCATGGCTAGCAAAAGATGCAGAATTAATGCAGCTCCTGCAAAGCAGTTACCAGTATATTCAATACATTCTAGCCCCGAGGTTATGTCCAGGATCTGAACCCAGCAAACGGATCAGGAGTAGGGCTGTGTATCACTGCACAAGTGCATGGCAAAAACGTGACTGAGTGCAGGTCTGGAGCAACTTCAAAGTCTCTCCTGCAAAATCAGTGGTGATTGCTCAGACTAGTCAGTCTAAACCCCAAAGTATTCTGCACTTGTACAGGGACACCATAGTTTCTGCCTGGACAGTAACATTTCAGTGGCAGACCTTTAAGGCTGCCATACTTTGAAGGCCTCTGCTTCAGTGAGTTAAAAACATACTACTTTAATTTCCCTTTCAGCAGCTTAAATGAGGCCTGTAACCTGAAAAGGTTTTGAAAAGCTCTGTAATGTCCCCTAAATTTGGACTGGGCTAGTAATGAACATCCCTGCTCACCTGAAAATTGGCCCCATTTGTAACAGGAGCAGACTACAGTTACAAAACAGAGCATCTCTTTATGCCTTTAATTCTGTTAATTTAATTCAAAGCAAAGCAGCAAAGAAGGTGGGCCAGGGAGGCCTGAGGAGTCACAGGCAGAGTCAGGGAACCCTGCCTCATGCTACTGCCAGGCACCTACTAAGCCTTCAGTCCACCCTCCAAGGAAGAGACCACACATCATGGCAGCTTTGCCATGAGCAGTTTTTCTGAGTGTAATGCCTACCAAGCTACGCAGACAGAACAGGCAATGTCTCAGAGTTCCAACTACTGACCAAGATACTATTATCTTTGATGTTTCTCCTTTGCTCTTCTAAAACCCAGTCACTTCCTGGGTACTGCTGAATTTCTTCTGAAAACGAAAGTACTGCTCTAGTGTCCCATCTGCTGCCAGCTCCTAAGGCTGAGGATGGGACAGTTATTTTGATGGTCGTTGTAAGTCACTGATACATGTATTAAGAACTAAAAGATAAAACATAAACACTGACTGAATGGTCCCTGTGTTCGTTCAAAATTTATCACTCTATGTCATGAGGTATCTATAGTCTACGTTATCTAAAAAGCATTTAAGGGAAGACTGCAAAACAATGAAATTGTTTAAAGTTCCTCAAAAGCTTGCAGTGAGCTAGCTGGCCAAGCACTTGCCTAGCAATGTAAGGCCTTCCGCTGAATCTTCAGCAACACATGCGGGAACAGAGCGTAACACAAGCGTAACAGACAGCCTGATTCATATATGGGAAGGGGCCAAGCCTACCTTTGAGAGGCACCCTTTTTATTTTGTGTTTTACCTGGAACATCGAATGTCCAGACAGTAGAGATGACTGGCCCAAGACTAGAACCATTCTACCACTTACAGATTCAAAAGTACAAGTGTCTCCTCTCCCAGAATGGTAAATTCAAGCTTGCTTTCTGAACAGAAATATTTTTACCCAACTATATCACTTAAATAAAACCAACAATGGCTCTTTAAACTAGTGCTGCACATTCTAATGTGACATACCAATGCCTGATACATGCTCTCGGATGCTCCTTCCTTACCATCAGTCAGTCACACAATCTCTTGATCAATCTGGTTTTCAGACTTTCCACACCAAATGTGAACATACAATTAAGAAAAATGAATATAGTCTACTTCTAAGTTGGCAGACCTTACTGGGAAAATATCATGAGATTTCTCTTAAAAAAAGGGGGGGGGGTAGGGGGCAAGAGAGAATGCTCAGTGGTTACAGCATTAACAGGACCTGGTTTCAGTTCTCAGCACCCTCATCAGGAGGTTCACAGCTCTCTGTAATTTTAGTTCCAGGGAATCCAATGTCCTAGGCCTCCTTAGGTATCTGTACACACATTGTACATATAAACTCATGCAGGCAAGCAAGCACACACGCGCGCATACATGGACACACACACACACACACACACAAAGAATAAATATAAACAAAATGCATAACACAAATAATAATGAAATGGCCAGCACCAGGTTCAGAGAGACCCTGCCTCAAACACAAAGGTGGGGAGTGACCTAAGAAGACAGCCAAACTCTACCTGAAGCCTCCCCATACTCTTGCACAGGTAAGCACAACTCCACATACGTAATACCAAAAAAAGATAAGACTTCCTGCCTTTCTAATCATAAATCCTACCACTAATGAGACAAGATAAGCACTGGCAAAGCCCTGAGCAAAGCCACAAGCAATACATGCACTCCCATCACATCCATGGGTGCTATTCCCTACAGACAAGAGTTCTATAGACATGATGCCATGGCAGAGGGCTCTTCCCAGAGCTCACGTTTTCAAGATTTTAATTTACCACACAGAACATATCAAATAGACACCGTTTTTAAGTATTCACCTGCCAAGTCAAGCCTTAATCGTGTCAGATTTTGACCAACATGAAAACCATATCCAGTGTTGTCATGCTGACAGGCAGGCTCTTGTCCTGGCCAAGAGGCTGTCAGTTCACCTTGTAACTGAAAATTTAAACAATCTACAGGGCTTCTCATACACTGTCGCTTCTCAAACACTGAAAACACTGGACAGAATTCTATTACAAATGTCTTGAGGACTGAGATTTTTCAGGCTGTATATTAAGTTTTAGTTTTACAATTTTGTTAAATAAACAAGATCATCATACTTACATGTTGTTTTTTTTTTTTTTACAGGAACTCAAACATGGATTTATGCAGCCCATGGGAATATGACAAACATGAGCAAACCGAAGTTTGAAAACAATGTTTACAAAACAAACTAAAATTCTGAAAACTATAGCCTTGTGTGCGGCACATGCTTACGCTCTGGAGCCAAGTGAAGTCTAAGGGGAGAGACTTATCTGACATATTTGAAAAAGAAAACATGTTTGTATGAAGAAATTACACAGGAAATGACTGGACAGGGTTAAGAGCGGAGGTATGCTACCCAACACAAAGGGGCTTCTTCTCTTATGACCACCTGGAATTTTTTCAGCATAACAAATCTTGGGGCATCTATACCAGCAGCAAACAAATGAGTATTACAGATACGGTACGTGCTAGGGTCACATCTATCCACACTACCCACAGAACAGCTGTGAAGTTCTGCAAGAGAGGAGCTCCCAGTAACACAACCCGGGATGAGTGGTACAAGCCTGAAATTGTAGCATTTAGGAGGTATGGGCAAGCAGTTCAAGGGCAGCCTGGGCTACATGAACACCTATCTCAAAAAAAATTTTTTTTCCCCTCAAAGGAAAACAACATGTGTATATTCCCTTGAGGTAACAATGTCATGACAGACAACATCCTTCATAAAACACACCAGGGCATTTTCTATTGCAGTAAATGGCTAAGACTGAGCAAGACAGTCAGCAAAGTATTCAACCTAAGGGTAAAGGAGGTCAACAGTTTCTTAAAATATCTAAACATCCAAATGCAATTTTATAACCATACTTTCCTGTAAGAAAGTACAGTATAAGCATCAGCTAAACCTCAAGTAAGCCTGGTGTTATTTTATCTTGATCTGTCATTGCATGCTAAGAACCTACTAAAATAA